TTTGCCTCATTAGCTAAGGGATTTATAAAGGAGAGTTGCCTTGTGCTCTGACTAGAAATGAAGATGTAGGCTATTATCTACAGTTCTAAAAGAAACTGTTACAGTGCGTGATCCCTGATGCTCAGGGAAAGGGAGTGCAAAGCAGCTTTGCTCCATGCTCTGGCCTAGCAGCCTGTAGAGATCACCATGGCCACCCTGTGTAGCATTTTGCCAAGGTCTCCTGTAGGCGCCATACAGTGATCCTCTCGCCCATAATTTTGAGACACTATGACTTTTTTTTGTATTTCAAAGTGCTTGAAATAAGAAGACCATGGTGCAGGCAGCAAAGGTCGGACTTGTTTTGCACGATGCTGAGGCTGCATACCATGTGTGAGTGGAGTCTATAGTGGGTGGTGTGGGGATGTTTGGGGTTGTAATGCATGCTGGCATAGAGCTGGAAGTATCAGCAAGTTGTGCAGAGAAGAGGGACTCAAGCCTGATTTTCTCCATAGAGCCTTGTGGGAGAATTTGTAGACTGAACTGTTACCATTCATGCTGAGTTCAGTTTCATGTGGAATTAGCTATTTTGTTCCAAAGGACAGCTTGAGGCTGACCTCACAGTCATGCACTACGGAAGCTCAGAGTACAAGGTAACGGTGGCAAAGTATGCATCTAGGTTTTCTGGCTGTGTTGACGCATCTCTGGGGTGGGCTCATTGACCCTCCTCTGGGTCATTCTGGCATTCTAGATGTGATCAGATAAGTACTCAGTAAAGTGGACTAATCACTTCCCTAGATTTCCTGGCTGCACTCCTGCTGATAGAGCCCAGGATGCTGTCAGCCTCCCATCCTGCCGTTGTGGATCCTTGCTGCCAAGGAAATAGTAGGTGGGATCCCATAGGGATCTGCTCTAAAGGGCAAAGGAGCTCAAGAGGGGTCACAAGTCTTCAAGGGAAACCTCCTTCAAGCACAAAAATGGTCCATCTGGATACTCAGGAAAGCATGCAGACGTATCAAGAGACCAGCTTGGCCAAACAACTGAGCTCCAATGCAAAAGAAAGCATATAAAAAAGGTATAAACAGGAACAGAATACAGAGGAGGAATACAGAAACATTGCCCTGGCATGCAGGGATGTTGTTAAGAAAAACAAAGCTCAGCTGGAGTTGAGAGTTGCAAGAGATGTCAAGGGCAGCAAGAGGAACTCCTATTGCTACATTAAAAGGAAAAGAACAAAGCCAGCCAGGAAATACGGGCTCACTGCTGAATGGGACTTGTGATTTAGAGAGAGCAGATGAAGATAGGGCAGAGGTACTCAATGTCTTCTTTGCTTTAGTTTTTGCCATCAGTGTCTGACAGGCCTTTGTGATGCCTCCCAGGGAATCCCTCATTGTAAGGTAGACCCTTAAAAGTCCTCCAAGCAGACAGAGGTTTTTATCAAATTTTTCCAACAGTTTTCTCTTTCTATGCATGTCTGCCTAAACAAAAAGGAACTTTGGGGTTTCCAGGATGAACTGAGTGCACTTAATGGTTTGTGGTGTTCTATCTGTTATCATTCAACGACTTTGGTTTTGTAGATACGCTTCTTTCTCTATCAGATCAGCTTCAATGTCTAAAATTTGATGGTGGGAAACCCAGCAGGGATTCTGAAGTCCCCAACTATCTCACTTAGGAGTTTCTTTCATAGTATACATATGTGTATATCTATATGTATGTATCTCTATATCCTAACTCCTCAATCCCTGGTGCTTTCAGGAGTGGTGCTTGATTCAGGCTGATATTCCCAGAGCCTGCTACTTCAACCATTTGTGCCTGAAGGCCTACAGCTCCTGCGTGAGGCAGGCCTTCAGGCTCTACTTCCTTTTGTGGGGGGCAGGTGACTTGGCCCAGAAGTCAGTGGGAGAACTAGCACAAGGGAACTGCACAGAAGCAAGAGCTATAAGCAACTATGGCATGCCAGATGCAGCGTGAGTCATTAGCGTCATCTTTCCATACACCTTCTGCCTGTAGGTCTGAGTCTCTTCCGCAAGCATCTGGAAGCTATGGAGAGGCTTCAGCACCCTTAGTGGTAGAGGCTGTGAAGCTTGCCAACTATGATCTTTCTAGAGAGGGCGGGAGTGAACAGGCTCCTCCAGAGGCATGGTCAGTCAAACGAGAGAATCCTCTCACATGGGGAGGAAAAAAATGTCCTCCGGAAAGACCATATCCCAGTACACCCCTCTCTCCCCTGCCTCTCATTGACTGTAAAGGGGGCTCACCACATCATGTTGGATGCCTACACTGCGGGTGCCTAGGAACAGGGAATGGGTGAGCTTCACACACACAGCTGTAAGTGCCATGGAAATTCATCTGGTCTGTCTTTTCCTCGCTTGCAGTGGATTTTATCTAATCCTAATGGATTTTATTTAATCCTAATAAACAGAGTGGACTTTTTGAACAGCTGCAGTGATATTCCTCTCAATGCCAGCATTTGATTCAGTATGTGGTCATTCCAAAGCCCAAACAGCTGTGAGGTGTTTTGTAATTTCCCCAACTGGCCTTGTTGGGACAATCACAATCGAGTCCAATGGAAAGCTACACAGTTTAACATTCTCACAGAGGTGTCTCGTATTCCCATGTGAATGTGAGACCAATTTATAGCATAAATACAGCTGAGCAAAAGGACAGGAGAGAATAGAATAAGTTTTCTTTGTAACTATGTTTAGAGAGAAAATAATTGGTGGCCATTAATATTAATGAAAAGCCTTTGTGTTTTAATGGCAGGGGGAAAGAAAAGAAGCTACAAATGTATTTAACGTTATGAAGACTGGTGTTAATGGATGGGATTAGTGGGTGAAATGCACCCCCTCTTATATTAGGGAGAGATTCCCATCATACAGGTTTAGGTGCCTGCTGTGTAGGTACCTGCAAGCAAGCTAGGTTTCTTGGTTTCCACTGTAGGCAGAGGACATCTAATTGATAACTCAGTGAAGTCTAGAGGACTATTTGGCTCACCTTGTGGTCAGCAATGACTCACTTGCCGAGATGTCCATGAGTCCATGGAACCTCACTCAACTAGCTGTTGTGTTAAAACCTCCATGAGAAGACATCCACATGGAAGGCAACACAAATCCTGTTAGTTAGTATCCTTTCACAATTGACAGATCTATGCAGCAGTCAAAGGCAAGAGTGTCTCACCCTAAAGCAGACAGCAACTTTTGGCCTGAGGGATCATGTCCTACATGTGCCAGGTTCTCTTCACTGAGCAGAGAGGGGCTCAAGAGACCAGTAGGGCTGTAGGCATCTGCACTACAGAGTTTAACTTCACAAGGTGGGGTTTGAGCTTGACAGTAGAGCTTGACCTTGTACCATAGTAAAACAATGCTCTTTAGAATTCTGGTTACTGAAGGATTCACTGCACCAGGAGAGGAACACGCCTTGGCTAGCTGCCAGGTGCTCACCAAGCTGCTAGGTGCTCACCAAGCTGCTCTCTCACTCCCCTTCCTCAGCAGGATGGGGGCAGAGAAAATAAAGACAGGGAGATCACTCACTAGATACCATCATGGGCAAAAGAGACTCATCTTGGGAAAATTAATTTATTGCCAATTAATAACAGAGTAAGATATTGAGAAATAAAAACAAAACTAAAACCACTTTCCCACCACCTCTCTTCTTCCTAGGCTCAACTTTACTCCTGACTCTTCTACCTCCTCCCCGCTGAGCGGTCCAGGGGGGATGGGGAATGGGGGTTGCAGTCAGTTCATAACACGTTTTCTCTGCCACTCCTTCCTACTCATGTTCTTCCCCTGCTCCAGCATGGGGTCCTTCGCATGGGCTGAAGTTTTTCAAGAACTTCTCCAGCATGGGCCCTTTCCACGGGGCACAGTCCATCAGGAACAGACTGCTCCAGCATCAGAGTTACTAATTGTAGTTTATATTTAGATTCAGGGAAGAGCAATAGGCCCTGTCAGGGAGAGAATGGCAATGGATAAAAATAAGCAGTTTTAAGTAGTGATTCATGCAATCTATTTTTGTTTTCTACTTCAGTAGAAATTTTGCTCAGACACATCTTTGTCTCCTCTGACTATAAAGTGAGTTTCTAGATCATTAACTTAGAAACAGGCAAACACAGGGTAACATGAAGATCTGATTGTTGGAAAGAGCACTCAGGTAGTAGATACATGGGAAGTGACTACGCTGTCCATGTTTAGGTGTGTAGTAAAATTTTACAGATCCTATCTAGCTTCAAATTGCCATTCCAAAAGGGTGTGAATATACCCTAAGTCTTGCATCGTATCTGCAAGCCCTGTCCAGATGTCTTAGATATCATGGATGTAAATGTTTAGGCATCTGACATCTCTCCCAGTCAAACTGAATACTTCTCTCCACTGGCTGTAAAATGAGGCAGTAGCTGTAATGCACTTCTCTACATTCTAGCCAACTAAAAATTAGTAAGATTAATTGCCTCTTAAGTCACACCTCAAACTTTAAGATATTAAAAGTGAAGCAAGATGAATTTTGTTTTCAGATTACAGGAAGACATGAACGTACTGTCTACTTTCCTTAGTGGTTACTTTTCTCATCTGTTTCTAGCACTCTGAAACTTATCTCCATTTAAATTAATCATCTAGTTTTTCTCTCCTATTAATGGAGACAAATGCATACCTTCTGAGGACAATTTCACACATTTACCTTAGATTTTTGTCTTAGGATAGGATGAAGAGATTTTTGAAAGAGCTTATCTTCCTCCGTTGACTATAAAAATGTACTGAATGAACCTTCTTTTTAAATGACTAAAATCAGAAGATGGTAATCTCATCTTCTGTGGGAATCTCAAAAGCATCATAGCAGTCTGGAATCTGACTTTTTGTCTTACCCATGGCAAATATTCATTTGGGGCACGCCATGGGGAATCTCTCTGTATTTAAGTAACTTTTAATCCTTTTACATGCCTTCGGTATTAGAGTACTTTCAAATAAAACACAAACACCTAAACCAATTCTAAATGAAACTTAGTTCGATTCTCTGTGTTCTTTTGTTTACACATGACATTTGTGATTGGAAAGGAGAAGGAAAATCAATCCACTGTACAAGTATTTATCTTCCTGGGTTTCCCTGATAGTCAGTATTTGAACAACTTCTCCATGGTCTTTCCTCTTGTGTACACCTTAACTGTGATAGGAAATGTTGCTGTTGTCATTCTAGTGAGATCACACCCAGGGCTCCAAAAACCCATGTGTTTTTTTCCCTGCAACTGCTCCTTCCTGGAGATCTTGTGCACTTCTGCCTGCATTCCCAAAGCCCTCTCACTCTTCACAGGTATTAGCAAAACTATCTCCTTCACCAGCTGCGTTCTACAGATGTGTATTATTTTCTCCCTGGGCCGCACAGAATATTTCCTGGTAGCTGTCATGACCTATGACCATTATTTAGCTAAATGCTACCCACTGCATTACAGCACTCTCATGAACAGCACTCTCTCCACTCAACTAGCCCTTTGTTCATGGGTTTGTGGTTTTCTAGCTATTTCTGTTCCAGTCATCCTGATTAGTAGGTTGTCTTTCTGTGGCTCTAATGCTATCAATCACTTCTTCTGTAGCATTGATTCTTTGACTATTTTTTCCTGCAGTGACACCCATGTGGTTGACACGACAGCTTTAATCTTCTCTGTTTTTGTCATTCTTGGATCATGCTTGGTCTCCCTGATCTCTTACACTTATACCATCTCCACCATACTCAGAATCCCAACAGTTTAAGGTCGTCACGGAGCTTTTTCCACTTGTTCTGCTCATCTCATTGTTCTCATTATGTGGTATGGCTCCACAATTTTTCTTTATGTCAGGTCTTCTAAACAAGCCTCGATGGAAATGAACAAGATTGTCAACATCCTGAGCAATATTGAAACTCCACTTTGTGGAGTTTCCTTTCCTCTGCACTTTGAGGAAAAAAGAGGTAAAAGTAGCTTTGAGGAAGATATCAAATATATCCTAAAATGTAGCTGGAAAGGCTTGATGTCATTAGCCTAAATATTTAGTGTGTACTTAAGGGTTTTTTTATAGCAATTTGCACCTTCCTTCCTTCAAATATGCTTCTAAATTTAGACATTTGGATAAATATTTTAAAATTTCTGAAGGGCAGGGTTTCATATGTTTAGTTATGTGGGAATTGATTTGTTTTACCAAATGGCCATCTACATATTAACTGTCTACATGTGAGGCAGTTGTCTGTACTGTAATTGTACTTTATGGAACAAGAACTTCCAGGATGAGATTCAGCTCGTACAATAGATGGCTGGAAGATTCAAGCTTCAAAAGTGTCTGTTTTCCCTGCATAATAAAAGACGCTTTGAGGTTTCATCTGACTAAATGCAAGCATCTTCTGTAGTTTTGAATGTTCCAGATCTTGAAAACATTTCTGTGCACTATTCTTCCTTTTTCCCCAACCCCTCACAGGCACACTGTCCTGGTTTCAGCAGGGATAGAGGTAATTTCCTTCCTAGTAGCTGGTACAGTGCTGTGTTTTGGGTTTAGAACGAGAACGAAGTTGATAACTCACCAATGTTTTAGTTGTTGCTAGGTAGTGCTTACAATAGTCAAGGACTTTTCAGCTTCCCATGCTCTGCCAACTGG